TGCTGCTGCTCCTGCTGCTGCTGCTGCTGCTCCTGTTGCTCCTGCTGCTGCTGCTGCTGCTGATGGTGGTAGTGATGATGTAGCTGCTGCGCGGCCACTGAAGGGCCGCAGCAGAAGTCCCTCTGCGCTGCTTCCCGAGGCCGAGCGTTCCTTATCAATGTTAGCAGCAGCAGCAGCAGCAGCAGCAGCAGCAGGAGCAGCAGCAGCAGCAGCAGCAGTGCTGCAGCGTCTGCGGGGCCCCAGAGGGGGCAACGCCCGCAGCAACTCCCTTGACAAGCCTGAAGCTGCTGCACCTCCTGCTGCTCCTCCTACTGCTGCTAAAAGTCCCTCTTGCAGCCGCTGCTGCTGCTGCTGCTGCTGCTGCTGTTGCTGCTGCTGCTGCTGCTGCTGCAGCGCTGCTGCACTGTCTGTCCAGCTGCTGTTACCCAGCGAAAATATTCCCTTTGCTGCTGCTGCTGCTGCTGTGGGGGCCCCTTCTTCATTTTCTTCTTTGGGGGCCCCCCTACTAAAGAGTTCTCCCACTGCAGCAACAACACTGTTGCTGCTTATCCCTGCTGCTGCTGCTGCAGCAGCAGCTGCTGCTGCGTGTTGCTGCTGTTCTCGCCTCAACCGTAGGAGCGCAGCAGCACTGGTTGCATCATCAAGCCTTTGGAGTTGTTGCTGCTGCTGTTGCTGCTGTTGTTGCTGCTGCTGCTGCTGTTGCAGCAACAAGAGTGCAGCAGCATCTCCATCTGTATCTACACCAGCAGCAGCAGCAGCAGCAACAGCAGCAGCAGCAGCCCATTTTGCTGCAGCAGTTTGCTGCAGCAGATACCTGTTAGCTTTATTCGATCCTCTCCACCCCGCAGCAGCAAAATTCCTTTTCCCACTCGAACCACCACCAGCAGCAGCAGCAGCAGCAGCAGCAGCAGCAGCAGCAGCAGCAGCAGCAGCAGCATTCCCTTCCCCCCCCGCCCCTCCTCCTCCTCCTGCTCCTCCTCCCACAGCAGCAGCAGCAGCAGCAGCAAGAGCTAGCTGCTGTGTCTTAGTATCCTGTCCCCTTTGTATCTCATGAGCTCTGCGCCAGAGTACAGCCCGCCAGAAGGCCCTACATAGATCTCCCCCATCAACAAAAGGGAAGCGCTTGCTGCAGCGGCCTCGACCTCTGCCGCCAGGAGACAGTCCCCGTCTTGTTTTTTTTTCTGTTTTTTGTGATTGAAAATAAGAGAGAAAGGATTGCCTTTGGGTGTCTAGGGATACACCACATACCTTAGGTGCACGCTCTAATAAACTCAATAAAGAACCCATGCTGCACAGCCAGGATGAGGGGTCTCCTGCTGCTGCTGCTGCTGCTGCTGCTGCTGCGGGTGGTGGTGGTGGTGCTGCTGCTGGTGGTGGTGCTGGTGGTGGTGGTGGTGGTGATGGTGGTGGTGGTGATGGTGGTGGTGGGGCGATCTCGGACTTTGTAGATAAGGTGTTCATGTCTGCAGATGGGCTGTCTCTTGCTGCTGCTGTTGCTGTTGTTGTTGCTGCTGCTGCTGCTGCATCGGGACCTGCTGCTGCTGCTGCTGCTGCTGCTGCTGCTGCTGCTGCTAGCTCGCTGCCTGATTCTCTGCTTTCTTCGCCGCTGCGGGTGGACTCATCTAGAGTATGAGGGCTTCTAACAAGAGCTTCGACGGGTGAGTCTGCTGCAGCAGCAGCAGCAGCTGCTGCAGCAGTTGCTGCTGCTGCTGCTGCTGCTGCACCCCATGGGCCCCCACCAGTGCATATACGCTGCAGCTCAGCTAGACATGCTGCTGTCGGCAGCTTCGTTCCGGTGTATGATAAAGCGAGGAAGCCGCATGCAAGGATTTGCATCTCAATAGAAAGGCCCCCCAGTCCCTCTGAATCTTCTATGCTGCTGCTGCTGCTGCTGCTGCTGCTGCTGCTGCTGCTGCTGGTGCTGCAGCTTTTGCTGCTTCGGGAAACCTCCTCCGTCTCCATATGCTCCTGGGGATCGTCTGAAGACGGCGGATGCTCTTCGTCTTCTTGCTGCTGCTGCTGCTGCTGCTGTTGCTGCTGCTGTTGTTGCTGCTGCTGCTGTGGGGGTAGCAGTGACTGCGTTTGGTTTTGTTCTTTCAGTTGGTGCTCGCATTCTCCCTCGTGTTGCTGCTGTTGCTCTTGCTTCAGTTGCTGCTGCTGCTGCTGCTGTTGCTGCTGCTGTTGCTGCTGCTGCTGCTGCTGCGTGTCCCCCGGGGTCGATCCCTTTCGATCCCAGAGCCCCGCGACGAGTTCTGCGAATCTATGTGTGTGGCCTGCTGCTGCTGCTTCTGCTGCTGCTGCTGCTGCAGCTGCTGCTGCTGTAGCAGTTGCTGCTGCAGCAGCAGCGTCTGCTGCAGCTGGATCTTGGTTCTCCGCGTCAGCAGCAGCAACCAGGCACCCGTCTGCTGCTGCTGCAGCACACAGCAGAATAAGCTTGTCCTCAGAAGCACACAGCTCGCACGAGGGGGCCCCCTTCTGTCTCGCGGGGCCCCCTGGCTGCTTCATTGCTGCTGCTGCTCTGCTGCGGCTGCGGGGAGCAGTCCGAGCAGCAGCAGCAGCAGCAGCAGCAGCAGCAGTACCAGTGGCCCTCTTATGCAACGTTTTCCCACTGCTGCTGCTGCTACTGCTGCTGCTGCTGCTGCTGCTGCTGCTGCTGGGTGCATGCGAGCCCCCAGGCTGCAGCAGCGCGTCAGCTGTTAGCTGCTGCAGCTCAAACCCCAAAAGGCCCCCTCTGCAGCCACCCGTTTC